GACTGGTCACTCCCTAAGTCGAGCCCACAAGGTGGTACCAGCTCAGCTCCCATGGTCCCATTCTCCGCAGGGAACGGGGAGCTGTTAGTGGCCCTTTGCTCGGGGTGTAAGAAGAGAAGCAGCAGAGCCAATGGAGCCCAGGCTGACATTAGAGGACATGGACAGCCCAGCTTCCCCTGGGGAAAAACACAGAGGGTGAGCAGAGTTAGACAGACCAGGAGAGCTCCGAGGGCCAGAACTGAGAATTCAGAGGCCCCAGTAAACCTCAGGAGGACCCAAGTCCAGGGGCCCCATAGCACCCCCTCTGTTCCCAAGTCTCTGTCTTGGAACAGGGCTGATGTAGGCAAACTCAAGCAGAGAATGCAGCTGGGAGCTACTTTGTTGTGCAGGGAAGGAGGTTGATTCTGCTCCATCCACTGGAACTGAGGAGACGCCCTGTGTAACCCAGCCTGAACCTGGCATGACTGGCTGGGCCCCTCCCTGCCTTATTCATGTCCCCATTGAAACCCAGAGAACCTGGAGGGTGACACAAGTACAGAGCCCTAGGACGCAGCACTGAGTTCTGACCTGAGCGGTGCATGGCTTCTGTTCCTTCCTTTGCTCTATGGCAAGCCCCAGCTGGACACTCACCCGCAGACTGCAGAGTGGCCACCAGGCTTCCTGCGGGCACCCCGCACCGTTGGCGATGGAGGTAGCTGACATCATCTTGGCTGCCAGGGATGCAGCAGTGACTCCTGCTCTGGTGAAGCCCACATCAGTCAGGACCACAGGCACAGACACCGCGGCCAGCCGTGCTGGGAGAGGAGCTGGTGGGGTTGGGCTCAGGGGAAGGGGCCCCACACTTGGTTGAGGCTGGGGCACCTTACAGAATATGGGGAAGGAGCTGGGCTCTGAACCTGGGGGAGTCAGCAAGGGTCAACCCAGGAGCAGAGCCCCATGGGAAAGTGGAGGTAAGAAGGGTGGACATCCCCGGGGACAGGGTCCTGCCCCAGGCTCTGATTACCAGCATGTCCTTTTGGTGAAAGTCACTTGTCCAAGCCTCACCTACCTTGGTGCAAGACCATGACATTCACTGGTTTGTGAGGTTTGTTTTGACAGAAGCAAGTCTGGTCCCCGACAGTGTGAACAAAGAACAGTTCAGAGTTGCTGCAGATGGCAGCTTGGGTTCCCGGAGTCTCTAGAAGCTTGTGGGAAGCTCCCACACCCAGGGCGGTGGGGCCCAAGGCATCCCTGTGGAGCATCCTTGCTGTTTTAACTCAAAATGTGCACTCCCTTGGGAACCTTGCATGGGCATCACTGGCCTGCCTTTCGGGGGATAAAACAGGAGCCCAGGGGAGTTCAAAGACATGCCAAGGTCACAGGGATGCTCTGCAGGGGGAACATGGCCCCTGTGGAGGATGCAGCCACCTCACTGTACACTCCACCTGTTCCTTGTGTCCACTCCTTATTTCTTGTCTCCAGTGGTTTCCAGTCCCTTCTCTCCTGCCCTCTCCCTCCTCCCTGCTCCTCCCTCTACCATCTCCTGAGGCTCCAGAGAAGCCTGGGCAAGGACAGCATGGCTGCTTCCCTGGTCTCTGTGTGCCAGGCTCAAACCCCTTCCCTGCAGAAACTTACCTCCTCCAACTACAGCTAAGGCAACCTTGCCTGAAACCAAAAGAACATTTGCTGATGGGGGATCCACACTGCCCTCTCCTCCCCTCACCAAGCCAACCACCCACCAACACTGAGGGCTGCCCCAGAGAGGGCTCCCAGGAAGGAATGACCCTGCCTGCCCTCCCTGAGGTACTGAGAATACAAGTCCAGTGGATCCTCCATTTACCTCCACTTCAGACTCGGTGGAGACTCAGATCTGTCCTTAGTGAATTGCCTGCCCTGGGCCAGAAGGATGTGATACAGGGATCTAGGATCCTGGTTCCAGGAAATCCAACACCTAATCCAGGTTTTGTTTGTTCTTTGTTCATCTGCCTGCGGGCTGCTTGGCTGGTTGACTGGAGATTTTGGGGGGTAATCAGAAGTCACCTTTTGCCCTGTCTCTCCTTCCCAGGCCAGGCTTGGTTCAAACAAACTGAAATTCTCACTGTGACGTCCCTTCTCAATGAGCACAGGACACCTGGCATGGTAATTGAGGGCCTGGTGATGTAACTGGGACAGGGAGAGGCCACAAGGGTGAGTGTTGAGCTCTCTAGACAGGGCTGGGAGTCCCTGTGACCAGGCTCAGTGTTTGTCACTGAGGTTGCAGGACGCTGCCCTGTAGGCCAGAGGGAGCTCCCAGGAGAGCATGCACCCCAGGGCAGAGTGAGCAGTGCTGAGTCCAAAGTGGTGTTCTTGTGACTTGAGAGCCATGCTTGGAGGAGAGGGCACCAGACTCATGGAGGCCAGCATGTTGCCTCCTCTAGAAGCTTCTCGATTCTCTCAACCAGAACTTCTCCTTGTTCCTCTGTGACTGGAGTACTCACAGCCCTGGGACATACAGGTCGGTGTGGGACTGGATCACCAGCACCATGTTCCTCCACATTAGTTCAGGGCCTGGTTTCCTGCAGCTACAGGGCCCTGGAATGCACTCTTTGGGACCAGAAATTCCAAAAATAGTATAAAGTGCAGTGGGCCTATGCAGCTCTCAGGGAGAGGGCTGGGCTCCACAGTGGAGAAAGTAGACACAGGTGCCTGAGGGCCACCCTGAGTGGCCAGAAGGGATGTGTAGATGGGCACAGACCCTGGACTTAGGAAACAAGAACCTATTTCAAAAGGCATTTGCTGCTCAATTCTTGGCAGGCGGGCCAGGCAATGCCAGCCTGGTTGGCAGCTGGGGCTGGCACATAGAAAGCCCACAGGAAGTGGGAGCTGTTTGATGGCCTGTTAGGCTCATTAATCATCATGTTTTGAGGTCCAGGGCTGAGCCCGCTGGTCTGTGCAGAACCTACTTTTTTTTTTGGTTTTTCTCCGGTACCGGGAACTGAACTCACGACCTTCTGCTTGCCAGGCAGGAGCTTTGCTGCTGAGCTAAATCCCCAGCCCCTTGTGCAGAACCTACTTTGCCCTGAGGCTTCCTTCCAACCCTCCCTGCCCCTGTAGTAGCAACAGCTCTGCATTTCTGCTTCACTTCCTGTCCCAGGCTCAGAAGCAGCCCCCACTTCCCTGCCCAGGGCACCAGAACATTGGTAAATACTCCTTCTTGGTAAAATAAGGGACACTATCACCTTCCTCTGTGGTGGTTAAGAGATTTAAAGGAACTGATAAATGTCAAGTGCTACGCATAGCAAGTAAGACCTACATACTTGATCAAATGTAAATGACTTTGTTATTTTAATCTTGCAAAATTCTTAAACATGGTCTAAGATTTCGTCTCCATTTCAAGCAAGCAGAAAAGAATGCTAGGTGTGGTTCTGGCCCTGACACTCTTGTCAGACTTCTCCATGTTGAGCTGGGAGTCCAAAGTGGGGTGTCTGTTACTCAGGACCACTTATCTCCAACTGAGGAAGCAGCCACAGCAATAGCATTAGAGGACCCCTGCATGATGCCCCCAACATTCAGCGTCTCCAGCTAGGGCCCAAGGGAAGACGCTGCAGGGTTCAGGGCACAGTGATACCAGAGTGAGCCCTGAGGAGGTGCAGAGGGTCTGAGCTCAGGACAGGGGTCACAGACTTATCCTCCCATTGAACACCCTCAGTTCACATTAGTACAGGTCAGAGAACCTATGGGCATCTACTCGGAGAGACAGAAAGGTAAAGGTCAGAGCAGTCAGTACGAAAAACAGCAATAGAATGAGATGTACAGCAAGCTCTTCTGAGTATAAACTAAAACACAAGCAATGGCAAACAACACTCATTCTGCCAAAATGCCGGTGAAACACACACACATCAAGTATGTGAGAAATGCTGGCTTTGGTGGAGGGAAATGGATTTGAAAAGAAAGGTCTGAAGTGCAGAATGTTGTTAAAACCAACAGCCTGGCTTGGAGATGGAGCAGGACAAACTAGAGAGCTTGGTTGCCATTCAGTGGGAGGTTCTTTTATCAATTCAGTTAGAAATCATGAATTGGCAAAGTGTGGTCCTGCAGGTGGCCCCCGGCTTTGGGTACCAATGGCCCCAGCCCCTGTTCTGAACCCTGATGCTGCTGCTCTTTACTGCTGGTTGTGGTCCCTGCCACTGCCAGGCACTGCCACTTAATGCCACGCACTGTGGGCCAACTTTGCCCTCAGCTGTTGGTCTCTGGAGCTCTTTGGGGCAATGATCCCTAATGCTTACAGCTCTTTTAAAAGTGATGGCTCTGTCCACACTATTGAGGATAAGAATTCTGGGTAGATTTGTGAGAATTTCTGAGCCCATACAACAGGAGAGAAGACTTAGAAGGCTTTACTTTAAGAGGACCTAGACCATCCCTAGCAATGTAAGAGGACAGTTGCTTATACAGTAACAGCAGGCCTGTGATCAGTCCAAATTCAACCTGCTGACTGGCTCAAATTCCAGCCTATGTTGATCCAACTTGGTTCAGACTCAAACCTTCTGACTGGAGCTACTGACTGGTCCAAGTTCAATTCTGTTCAGTATTTTTTTAAAAGCTATTATAATAATTTTAATTGTATAATAACAATTTTGAAATCTAATTAAGGAAATTAAAATCTGTTTTAAACGCTTCATTTGTTAACAATATATTCCATTTTCCATGTCAGAATTGAAAATGATTTATCAGGATTTTGAATTATTTCCCTCCACATGAAATTTCAAGATGGTAAAATAATTTAACTAACTTTTTTTTTGGTACTGGGAATTGAACTCGGGACTTTGCATTTGCCAAGCAGGCACTTGTACCACTGAGCTATATCCCCAGCCCCTTACCTAACCTTTTGAAAATGTGTAAAGTTCCCAAACTGGAATTTTTATTGAAAGAATAGCATCTTTGTATGGCATTTAGCCTCGACCCTTTTCATTTGCCTTTTTTTTTTTCTTTTCTATGTTGTGATTCAGTTTACTTCAGTCGGGTAAATTTTGTTCATTTGTTTGAATTTTATTGGTACATTTTATATGTAATCTACTGCATATTTAAAACTCAAGCCCACTGCAGTCAGGGAAGACACCCCCAGAGTGGGGGAAGGGCAGCCAGGTCAGTGGTTACTGTCATGGCGGCAGTTCTGTGAACAGCGGAGACACGGCTGCCTGACTGACAGCTGTAGTGTCCTTACAAAAATAGTGGGACTAAAACTGGAGAGTTTCCAGAAGCACTAGCTGAGTTAATCCCAGCTCACCAGGGTTCGGGGATAACAGGTTCAGATTCCTTGCTGATGTTTGCACCTTGAAGATTGTTTCTCCTCTGATTCTTCAAAGAGGCTGCAGAGTCCTGGGTTGGAGTGAGGTAGATTAGGGCTGAGGGAAATCACTTGAACAGCTCCACAGAGCCTGTCAGTCGTAGAGACCCAGAGAAAAAACGCAAAACAGAGTCCCAGATGACCGCGCAGCTCCAAACCTTGTATGTGGTGGCCACTGTCGATTTTTTATTTACTTCTGGTGGGTCCTTGACCAGACAGCTTAAATCTGACATCAGGCCAGTGGAGTTTCTGACAGGAGAGCCCTTACAAATGCCTCGTGCACATGGGAAAGAAGCAACCTAGGACTCCATATAGCAAAGAGTCCCGACGCTATTCCTTGTGGGCACTGACAGTCTGTACCCCAAGCCCCCCTACTTGTTCTTCAAAGCGTATTTCTTTTCCACCTTCAATAAAAGTAAATCCTCACAACCTCTTCCACGTGGTTTGTCCAATATTTTGTGCAGGACACTAAGAACCTGGAAAGAAATTTGTTTGGACCCAAAAGTAACCGAAGGAGCAGGGGAAGGACACAAAGTCTGGCAGCCAAACCCACCTCCCCTCAGAGCGGCCAGGGGAGCAGCTCTCTGAGGTAACCTTAAGGGAGATAGCTGGAAGCTGGGGCAAAGTGTCTCAGCCCATCCAGGTATCAAAGGGAAGCAAAGGAAAGCCAGGGGGAGGAATACGACAGCTGTGGGCTGAGCCACTCCCTCTTCTAGTGGTGACAGGAAAAGGGGGCAGTAAGAGGCTTCTCCTCTGTCTCCATGGGATCCAGCTTCAGACCCCTCGGTGTAGGCAGGAGGCCCAAGTTTAGAGAGGAGGGGATTTACTGACCACCTGAGTCTAAGATCTTGGGGCCCCAGACTTCAGGCTCATTGATCAAGGCCCTCGGGGGCAGGGTGGACACCTGGAGACAGCCAGGAGACCAGGGCTGCCACAAGGGCAGGACCCTGCACCCTCCCAGGCTGCCCCTCTCAGAACACTCCCCCAAGATGAGAGGCCATATAGGAAAGTACCAGAGGCCCCTCTACCATCTTTGGCCATGGCCACTGCTGATGTTACCTTGGAGCCAGGGAAGAGACAGCTTGCTAGCTGCAGCTAAAGGCACGGTGCAGGTTAAGTTTCCCAACTCCAAGCAAACCTGTGAAAAATAGGAACATGAGGTCCCAGAAGTGGCTTCCTGCCCACTGTCCTAAAAAGTATTAGGGGGCCAGGGTGGATGAGAGGCTGCTCTGCACTGGTGGGGCACTGGGCCTTCAATGGGACCTGGGGTGAGGTGTCGGACTTCACATCCAACTCTGTCCAGGGTGAACAGATCCCCCAAACTAGGTGCCCGCACATGTACAAGAAAAGTAAGAAAAACATCAAACCAAGAGAACAAAAATCCCGTGATCAGGTGCTAGCAGCCTCTAGGACTGACTGATTCCTGATTACCATCTTCAGTAACCTTTTATTCAGAATCCACCCAGGAGGCAGCAGAGGAATTCGAGAATGTCAACTGTTGTAGCAAGGACAATACAACTCAATTATCATAGGAATGCGACCTGACCAGTAAGCCATCATGTTATCTTCCTTCTTCCATATCTCAGCAAAGCATCTAGTACCGATCTGGATCTGGGCGCTTGCAATGCTTATGCTAGACTTCCTCCAGAATCCAGCAATCATGGCTTGGTCAGGCCTCAGGCAATACACAAAATAGCAACTAAAGAATGTCCTTCTCCACCATGAGGGAGGTGGGATGTGGACGCTGGGGTTACCAAAGGACCCATATTAGGGGTTGGGGTGTATTTCCCTCTTTGGCTGCTTCCTTCCCCCTGAAAACACATCTTAGATGCTCTGGGACTCCCTTAACTGTGTGTGGCATAACGAAAGCCGCAAAGTTAGGAAACCAGAACCGATGATGACGTCAAAGCACATATTGCAGCAAGGTGCTGTGGTGCCTGCTTGTCCAGCATCTCCCCTGTAATGTCAGAAAGCTGGCGTCCTACTCCCATTTTAGAGATGAGGAAACAGAGTCCAGCTCAGAGAGGATATGGGGTTTGCTCCAGGTCAGAAGGCTTCTTAGCAAAGCAAGGACCCAGCCAGGTCCAGCTGCTTCCAAATAAGGTGAACTTGCAATGGCGCTGATTTTGTTCCTCCTACGACTTGTGTGCCCTCTTCACTCTCACCTACTCTGCAGGCTTGAGGGAAACCCAACGCGCACAATGAAAACTGTTGGGCTGGGGATTTAGCTCAGCGGCACAGCGCCTGCCTGGCAAGCGCAAGGTCGTGAGTTCAATTCCTGGTACCGGGAAAAAACAAACAAACAAACAAAAAAAAAACAATGCACACTGTTCCCAAATCCCAGAGCCCAGGGGCTCAAGGCTCATCCCGCCCAACCCCCACCTTCCCTTGCAGCTGCCCCAGTGAGAGCAGCAAAACAAATCCCAGAGGACCTGGGCCGTAGCTCAGCTGCACAGCGCCTGCCTGGCAAGTGCAAGGTCCTGGGTTAGATTCCTATTATAAAAAAAACAAACAAACAACAACAGAGGGGATGCACAGTAAGGATATATCCCACCCACCCAACTTTGGGGGCTGCAGTAAAGGGGTCCTGCCCTCCCCGCCTTATCCAGCAGAAGGGCACCAGCACCACAGTTCTGTTCTGAGCAAAAAGGTTTACTCAGTTCTATTCTGGCTGCAGGGAGACGCCCGGGGAGGGCATTGACCAATGAGATAAGTTTCCTTTTCCTAGGAAACAGAAACCAATCCCAGCCTCCCTTTCTGGCTGGCAGGAAAACCTGGTTATTGCGGAGACAGGACTTGGCTACTGTATCAATTACTGTCATTTGATATAAAGTGCTTTGTCATCTTTATGTAATTATTTTATATCAGTGTTATTTCATAATGACTTTTAAAGATCATTATTGTATTTGAAATATGTTGTAGAAATACTTCTTTTCCAGGGTTTATTAAGAGGTTTTTTCTTTTTAATTGACCTAAATGACAGTCTTCATGAAAGACTAACGCTTCAGATTTTTTCAAAGCCTTTCTCTTTGTTTTCTTTCTCTTTTCTTTCTTTCTTTTTTTCATTTGTTTGTTCTCACCACTCCTATTGAAGGGTAAAAATGGGTATCCATCCCTTTGTAACTGAAAGGTGGGGAGAGAGAGAGAGATTGATTCTTGCCATGTAAATTACATTAAATTTTGGGGGGGAGGAGTGTAAAAAAACTAGAAAAGTTGTGGAAGTTGATAGAGCAAATTAAATTTTGTAAAATCATGCTCCACTTTCTTATGACATCTGTTTTCTAATGTAAGAGCAGATGAAATAAGTTTACTAATGATGATGCTTCATGATAACTAAAACTCACAGAGCGCTATGCCAAAAAAGGATCCAAAACATCCTAAAGGTGTTTAATATTAAATTGCACACTGACCAAAAAAACATTATCTTTATTATTGAAACTTTGAAAAGATGGGAGGAGTGGTAAGCAAAAAGAAAGAGCCTCTCTGAGAGTCACTGTCCAGACACTGGAATATAGCAATGTGAGGAAGATAAGAAGGAGGGAAGTGAGTCCTCTAGACCCAGGAAGGATCTGGAGTAAGAATTGAAGCCCATGGGGAGAGCAAAGAGAGACACTTCAGTGCGGAAGAAGGAGGCAGCCAGCAGAGCCTGCTCCCTGAGCTGGGACTCACTGTGAGGAGGGGTTCAACGCTGTGGACCACATGGTGACTGCTGGCAACACCAGAAGCCTCCATGGAGAGACGCAGCACTAGAAGGGAACAGTGAACACAGAGGACTGCAATAGCTGATGGTGAGTCTGCGGGATTGAACGTCCTGCAGGAGAGGGCAGTTGGCCGGAAGCCATCTTGGAGAGAAGCCAGCTGAGCTCAGAACTCAGAACAGCTGCTGGACACATCTAGCCGCTGTCAGCTGAGTTCAAGACCACAGGAGGTGTGCTGATGGCTGCAGGCTAAAAGGGTATGGTCTCAGCCTCACAGCCAGAATCTAGCTTTAGGGGAAATAAAGATGCAGGATCACTGAGATTATCCACTACCCCACCATAAAGCTACTGCTGGTTTGCTAGGATAAATCAGCATGGATCTGGACTCTACCAGGGACAGCAGAGACAAACCTGAAAGTGGACCATGTTTCTTCTCTCCTTCATTGTTTGGTTTTGTTTTTATACGAGTGTGAACATGGTTTCTAGCTTCTTTATGGTGGTGTTCTGTTGTTTTTCCTTTTTATTTCTTCCTTCTCTCTTTCCTTCCTATCTTCTGCACCTGTTTCTCAAAGTTTATGTGATCCTCCTTTGTCCTCCAGCCTTGCTTCTAATCTCTTCTGTTTCTTCTATTTCTCTATTTTTTCCCTAACCCCTTTTGAGTTTTCTCTCCTGAGGGTAAAATTGGCACATTGAGGAGTTATTTACTATGCATAATTTTCTGGTTTGTCTTAGATTTTGTTATATAATCACAAATCTAGTTTATACGGCTAAAGGTGGCAAATTAATAGTCACCTCACTTTGTCATTTTCTAGGCTATGTTTGATGCTATTGTTATTGTTGATCGTATCACTTTAGCCAAAGTGACATAACTGTTCTAATCAGCTGTTCTTTCTGGTATACCAAGACTGAGATTGCCTAATGGTCACAGAAAATACTGTGGACCAGGAGCTGGGGTAAGCAGGTAGCAAGTTCTCATCCCCAGCAAGTTAAAAAGGTAGGATCTTGCCACAGACTCAAAATGCAAAAACCAGCTGTACCTGGAAGACACCTGTGAGAAGTAGTCATTTCCTAAGGGTTCTGAAATTTTGAGTTGTTTCTGCATGGGTTTAGGAAAAGTATATATAATAAATTAGTATAAAGTATAGACAGCAATGTCTGGCAGCCTTACTTAATAAGAACTGACTGCACCCAGAGCACTAAAGTGTCATAAAACATAATTTTTAATATTCAATTGTAAGAAATTTCCAGGTAGATTATAAACTTAGAACAAAGGGCATATCTTTGCTTTTTTCCACTGCTGTTAGTGTTTTCTTCAGCATTAAAAATCTTAATTTTGCCAGGCATGATGGCACATGCCTGTAATCGCAGCACTCAGGAGGCTGAGGCAGGAAGATTGTTGTGAGTTCGAGACCAGCCTGGGCTACAAAATGAGCTCAAGTCCAGCCTGAACTGTATAGCGAGATCCTGTCTCAAAAAGATAAAAAAAAAAAAAAAAATCTTAGTTTCTTTGGCATTTGCAGACATCTACCTCTTTAAATAATTTTAAAATTTCTCTTCTCATTCTTTTATTACAATTGAAATTACATTTGTTGCCAGGGATATAGCTCAGCGGCACAAGTGCCTGCCTGGCAAGAACAAGGTCCTGAGTTTGACTCCCGGTACAAAAGAAAAAAAAGAAAAAAATTACATTTGTTTTAACTGATACCAGGTCTCTAGGGGCACAAGATCAGGTCCTAGAATGAATGGTGAGGCCTCAGGGAGCCGGGAAGCTACTTCAAGGCCGGATGCAGAGAACTAGCTTCATCCTTCCAGCCAGAGTTGGCATCAGCTCAACAGATCTAGAGGAGCTGAAAAAGACTTGACCATCAACAGTATCCAAAGGTGAGGCTCAAGAGGAATCCCGACTGCTGGGCTGTTGGAGAGCAGTGGCCAAGGACAGAACTGGAAGTGTCCAGCCAGGGCGAGCTGCCTCTGGCCAAGGACCCTGCAGTTGGGTGATCCCTACTGAGCTCGCAGTGTGAATATTGCCCACCAGAGGGGGCCAAAGACAGTGTGCAAGGTCTTCACAGCCTGTACTTGCTAAGGGACAGGCACAGTCCTAAGTGCTTTGTGTACATAAAATAGTTCCTCCTCACAAAACCACGCGGGGATGTACCATTATCCCAGTTCACAGACAGGAACTGAGTAATAGGCAAGGTTCTTTGACAGTTACCCACAAGGCTCTTCCACTATTCCATGTTGCTGGGCGGTGAACCTTCTCCATACCTGAGTGTTCTAGACGGTTTCTCTTGCCCCACCACGTACCCATCAGTACAATCTTGGTTTTTGGTTTTTTGTTGTTGTTGTTGTTGTTGTTGTTGTTTTTGCCTTTTTGAGACAGGGTCTCACCATGCAGTTCAGGCTGGCCTTGAGCTCACTTATGTAGCCCAGGCTAGTCTCGAACTCACAACGATCCTCCTGCCTCAGCCTCTCGAGTGCTGGGGTTATAGGTGTGTGCCGCCACACCTAGCAACAACCTTGTTTTGAAGGAGTCTCCACACCTAAAATGGTACCAATATTAGAGGGGTCCTTTAAGATTTAATTAGCATACCATGTCCATGTGCTCCAGGTCATGAATGAGGGCTTCACCCTACGGAGCAAAACCAGCCCCAGCTTCCCGGCATGCCCTGCTCACCTGGGAGTCAGCAGCCTTAGACACCTCTGGCCAGGAGAGTGTAACACATAGCCCTAATGGTTTCACATGCATCCTAGCTCCCTGAGCCACTGAAAGAGGAGCAAACTCAAGCCAAAATATCACCTTCCAGCCCCACTACGAAAGGTCCATGAGAATAGCGGCTCCCTGTTAACCACAGTGTCGGTTCTAGATATGGGAAGTACAATGATAAAGATGTCAGCCAAGTGCTGATTGAGTCCCTTTTTAAGCATCTTTTTCAATGACTGCATGCCCTTCTTAAACAGGTTCCACATAGCTGATGGGTTGAGAGTCACAGACTTGTTGCGCTCTCTGACAGCAAACCTCAGAGGGGCAGGTCCAGTTGCTTTCTTTGAGAGTGGGGTCTTTGTCCCCATTGTCCTTGGCTTTGAGTTTTATGTTGAAATTTCCCCCAAACAGAAAATTCTCATTTACCATCCGGTTACATGCCTACTAGTAAAGCAGTGAAATAGCTAAATAAAATGTGTTATAAAATGTGGAATATTAAACAACTATTAAAAATCATGAGAAAGATCTGAAGAATAGAAAAAGGCCATTTACAGAACAATCTGTACTAAGTAAAAGAAAATCTTATTAATATAAATGGATTAAGAAGCTAGGCACAATGGTAGAGCCCTGTAATCTCAGCTACTTGGGAGCCTGAGGCAGGAGGACCACAGTTACAGGTCAGTCTAGGCAACTTAGTAAGACCTTGCCTCAAAATAAAGATCAAGAATCAGGGTGTTGCTCCACGGTAGAGCATCCCAGGTTCAATCTCCTGTTCCAAAAAGAAATGTATACACAGCCCTGCATGAAGTGTTTTCTTAGGCGATGTCTACAAACCTCTACCTCTTCTAACTAAAAGAAATAATTTTACAAGAACAAGGAAGACTAAAGACCTAAAGCTAAAATACACAGGGGAAAACATTTGTGACTTTGGGCTTGGTGATTATTCCTGGATATGATACCCAAAGCACAGGCATCAAAAGCAAAAGTAGATAAACGGGTCTGCAACAGATCCAACATGTTTGTGCAACAAAAGGCACAGTCAGCAGAATGAAAAGCAATGTACAGAGCAGGATAAAATATTTGCAAATCATACACCAGTCAAGGAACTGATATCCAGAGAAATGAAGAGCTGCTACAACTCTATAACAAAAACGTCAAATAATTCAATACAAAAATGAGAAAATGATTCAATAGACTTTTCACCAGAGGAGAAATGCATACAAATGATGAAGTATATAAAAAGATGTGTAAGATAATTAAGTGAAAACTGATGAGATCGCACCTCATACCCATGAGGAGAACTGCTGTCAAGAAACCAGAAATTGACAAGTGCCAGGCCTCATAGAAAATTATAACCTTGTGCATGCCCTTAGTGGCATTACTAAATGCCATAGCCACTGCAGAAAACAGCACGGGAGTTTCTGAAAACATTAAAAGTTTAACAGCCACACAATCCAGTCCTCTCACATCTGGGCATATCCCTAAAAGAATTGAAGGCACAGTACTCTGTGTAAATGTTTATGTCCTCTTAAATTCATTTGCTAAAATGTTTGTCCTTAAAGTGATGGTGTACAGTGGTCAAGCCTCTGAGGGGTTCTTAAGACATGAGAGAAGAGATTAAGCACTGTCTATGAACTAAGAAATGGGCCCTCACTTGTGTCTTAATCTGCCACATCTTTATCGTTGTACTTCCCATATCCAGAACTGAGAGAAATACATTTTTGTTCTTTATAAGCTATCCAGTCTGTGGTATTTTGATACAGCAGCCTCAGTGGACAAAGGCAGAGTTGTGAAGAGATATTTTAGAACATCTGTGCGTGGCAGCACTATTCCTGGTTGCCAAAAGATGGCAGTGACTCAAATGTCCACTGATAGGTGAACTGTGGTCTCTTTGCATGCTGTGGTCTATCTATACAATGGAATAGTACTCAGCTTTAGAAAGGAAGAGAAATTCTGACACATGCTGTAACATGAATGGGCCTTGTGGACTTGATATAAAATAAAGTAAAAATAGTTACAAAAAGACAAATACTGTAGAATTGCATTCGTATGATATCTCAGTTATTTTCTCATTGCTGGGATAAAATACCCAACACCCACAAGTTGAAGAAGGTAAGGTTTATTTTGGCTCACAGTTTGTAGGATTCAATCCATAGTGGGCTGGCTCCAAGGCAGAGTGGCACGGGAGAAAGGCATGGTGGAGAGGGAACAGCTCATGGCGCGGTGGCAGGAGGCAGCAAGAGATCAAGAGAAGAAGAGAGATGGACCCTTTCAGGCCACACCCCCAGTGACCCACCTCCTCCCACCAGGCTTCACCTCCCAGCATCCCATTTAGCTAATCCACCAATGAGT